ATCCCAGCAGCAGGAGCAGTCTGCACAGCGCCCGGCCGCTTCGTCTCACATAACTGGCAAAAGGCGTTCCCTGCCTACCTCACCTTTCCAGTTTCTCTACCTCGAGGAGAAAAGGCCCAGTCGTCAGGTCGCCTACTCCTTGTTAACTCCTGGTGGGCACGGGAGAGGCAGACAACCCTCGGAGAGGCCCCAGATGGACGCCGTTCCCGCGGGCGCCCCCCACGACTCAGGAATTATTCAGCCCGGGGTCTTTATTGAAAGATCTGGGAGTTACAAGAGTGGTCACGCTCTCTTGGGGAAGATGACAATGGAGACGTGAAGTGTGAGGCAGCAAAAAGTCTGGTCCTATAGGGCCACCCCTCTCTCCTGCAGCGGGGCTGAGGTGCCCGGCGAACCAGTCAGCCCCAGACGCGGGGTGGGTTCTGGCACAGCAGCCTCCCAGAATCCCTAGAAGGTGATTTGGTTTTGAAACATGATGCATGAATTTGAAAGGGGAAGCTGAGAACTGGAGAGGATGGACTGTCTCTCAGAAGAGCATTACCTTTGTGACCACACAGAACGGTGTGAAATTCACATAGCACACAAGAAATGGATTAAAACCCACCTATCTGATAGCTCTCAAAATGTAATTGGAAACGGAATCATTGAGCAATGTTCCCTCTAGTTTTTTCCATCCAGGTGTAGAATTAATGTTGTTATGTGCACCGAGGCACATGTGGATGTGCACCACCAGTAGAAACGCACACTGCCGGCTGTGGGTGCTGTGCTAATCAAATTTTTTCCCATACGTATGCAGAATACATTTTATTATGTGCGCCGAGGCATGTGCACCACCCATTGAGGCACACACTGCCGGCTGTGGGTGCTGTGCTAATCGGCAGGGTGGCATTTCAGTCTCTCATGGACGGCTGCCCAAGTGCCCAGCTTGCAGGAGACCCTGCAGTTCAGCCTCAAGTGCACTGGACACAAGCCCCAGGAACCGTGCCTGCAGTGCGGCCAAGGAAGCAAAGGAGGCAAATCTTTTGTGACCAATGAGTGGTGCCTGCCAATGACCAGCAGAGCCGTAAAATAGCCCCCCTTCCCTGCTCCAGATTCCGAACCGGAGTGGATGGACCAAGCCCCGCACTTGACAAGCAGCACAGCTGGGTCTCTCCAGGGGCTGGCCTGCTTTGCAGGAAGGAAGGGCTCAGATGCAGACCTTTGCCCCACAAGCCCCCAGCAGCTGCTGCAGTTGATGGTTCTTCCACCATAACAAAGTCACCCATGGCGTCCAGTGGGGATGAGGGGATAGGGCCCCTCCGGGGAACCGCTGTGCGCTGTCACGTTCCGAGCAGAACGCAGGGATGTCTGACGGGGCGGGTTCCAAACTTACTTTCTCATGACCCTGTTGAAAAGAATCGTTGAGGCCGCAACTCAACAGAACGTGACTGGAGTGTGGGGACTGGGGTGGGGTTGGGGATGGAGCTTTGGGGTGTAGGAGGGGACTCCAGCTTTGGGAGGGGGCAGGGTGGGGGGCCGGAGGGGCCCCCCCGCCTCGGGG